GGGTCTTGAACCCGCGGGTTCAGGCAATCCACTCACCTCAGCCTCCCAAAGGCGCGGAATTACAGGCTGAGCCACCGAGCCCGGCTCAGCTATTTCTTTGCATCTTTCATGTGGCATCAGATCACACACCAGACACCCATACACCTGACGGGCCTGACCTAACACTCTGGAGACCCTGCTGGGAGTGTGACCTTAACAATATATATATTTTAAATTTTTATTGTAATTAATTAATTAATTAACTTTTTGAGTCAGGGTCTCACTCTGTCACCCAGACTGGAGTGCAGTAGCACTGAAAGAAGGTACCTATAGAAACCTAGAATAAACTTAGTTTACCATAGTCTTTTGGTCTCGAACCCGCGGGCTCAGGCAATTCACTCACCTCAGCCTCCCAAAGGCGTGGGATTACAGGCTGAGCCACCGAGCCGGCTCCTGACATGTTTTGAATCTGGCGCAAGTTAGACATAGATAAGATAAATTTCCAATAGGGCAGGATTTAGGAGGCATTCAGACATTTCACTGCAGGCCAAGTTGGCAGCCTACCCCACCCCCTCGGCAAATCTCCATTAGATGCAAGACAAGGACAGAGCCACAGAAATGATAATAGACCGCCTTTTGGTCAAGGAGTTTTTGGATTGCAAACATCTAACAAGTCTCTTGCAGGGAAACCCCCTCCTCTTGTTTCCTCCCATCTAGCCCACCACCAGAGGATATGAGATGCTAATGTCTGACAATGTCAAGATCTAAGACTCATGTGGCTGCAATCAACATCAAAGACCCGCAGCCCTGGACACTCCTCTGGACCTAAACCCCCTTACTCCAAAGGCCCTTAAATATACCCAGTTCTTGGCCCTTCAATGCCACACTTGCCTCTGAGTGTCGGCCCCCTTTCCTTCAATCTGTGAAAGGTCAATAATAAACTTTACTTCTTTCTACTTTCTTCCTTGTTGCAATCTTGCATTATTCCTGCGTCCTTGGCACTGGCACCGGCCCACCTCCCCTCAATTTACCCTTTTAGACACAGTCATGGTTCACTGCAGCCTCGACCTCCTGGGTTCAGATGATCCTTCTGCCTCAGCCGTCCAAGTAGCTGGGACTACAGGCCTGCGCCACCATATCTGGGTAATTTTTGATTTTTTGTGGAGACGAGGTCTCACTGTGTTGTCCAAGCTGGTCTCAAACTCCTGGGTTCCAGCGATTCTCCCACTTCAGTCTCCCAAATGCTGGCATTGCAGGTGTGAGTCACCACACCTGGCCAATCAGATATTTAGTAAGAGGTATTTTTATGGAAATACAAGAAAAATAAAGATTAATGGTTAGAGTAAACTATATACTCAATTTTTGATTCTAGAGGGCAGTCAAGATTTTTAGATGTTGGGATGGAAATATCTTTAAATGGGTTGGGTGTGGTGGCTCATGTCTGGAATCCCAGCACTTTGGGAGGCTGAGGCGAGAGGACTGCTTAAGCCTGAGAGTTCAACACCAGCCTGGGCAACATGGCGAGCCCTCATCTTGACAATAAATGAAAAAAATTAACTGGGCGTGGTTGTGCGTGCCTGTAGTTCCAGCTACTTGGAAGGCTGAGGTGGCAGAATTGCCTGAACTCAGTAGGTCGAGGCTGCGGTGGCCGTGAGTGTGCTACTGCTCTCCAGCTTGGGCGACAGAATGAGACTTTAACTCGAAAATAAAAGAAAAGAAATCTTCAGATGAAATGAGAGCAGACAGTGGCAATCTGCCATGGGTCTGGTTTGTAGTCTGCAGTACATGTTCCAGCGAGCTTTCTGAGTAGGCTATATACTAACAGATAAGAAGAATATATATATGAAGTTATTATTTGATGTTCCCCAAAGTGTATATTAAGTTGTCCAGTTTTAGCTTGTAGAACTTCAGGAAAAAGCTGTTTTGATTCTAGTGATTTTTAAGTCATAAAAAGGGAAAATAATGGGAAATATTAGTTTGAAGACCCCCAGTCAGTGAAGAATTTAGGATTTAGTGGAAGATGTAGTCAGGCGGGGCTTGGTGGCTCAGTCTGTTATCCCAGCACTTTGGGAGGCCGAGGTGAGAGGATTGCCTGAGCCCGCGGGTTCGAGATCAGCCTGGGCAGCTTGGCGAGACCTGGTCTCTACGGTAAAAAAGTGAACAATTACCGGACATGGTAGCACACGCCTGTAGTTCCGGCTACTTGGAAGGTTGAGGTTGAAGGATCGCCTGAGCCCACCGGTTGGCGCTGGGGTGGCGGTGAGCATGCCAGGGCACTCCAGCCTGCGTGACAGAATGAGACTGCAACTCAAAAAAAGAAAAGAAAGTGCAGACAAATAATCAAAACTCAAAAACGATGAACACAGCAAGGATCAGACAACAGATGAACCATAGTTTTTTGTTTGTTTTGTGTGGGGGGGCTTTTTGAGGCAGGCAGCTGACTCCTCATTGCCGCTGGGGAGCGGTCTCAGGAGATCTCGGTGGGGCGTCCGCTTCCTCTTCACCATCACTGGCTTCTGGCTGGGCCAGACGGTGCTGGCCCTGCCGACGGCAGCCGCGCGCGGGTCGGGGCGGTACTCGCGGGTCGGGGCGGTACTGGTTCTCGCGGCACGTGCCTGATGCCGCTGAGGGTGGCCCCGGGGTTCTTGATGATGGTGGTCCGCACGTAGGATGTGGCTGGCTTTCGCTGACTGGACCTCCGCTTCGCGACCACCACGACGCCCGTGCCGTCGGCCGCCGGCTCCACGCCCACCGTCCTGTGATGGATCAGCCCGTTGTAGCCGAAGGAGTTGCGAGCCTTCAGGTTACTGGGCTCGGGGCTGTAGATCTGCTGGTTCCTCTCGATCAGGAAGCTGGAGCAGTTCCGCACCACCATCCACTGCAGATGCGCGGACGTGGCGGCGGCTCCTCTTGCTGCTGCGGCCTGAGATAGAAGGAGCCATACCTGGCCGGGTGTGGTGGCTCATGCCTATGATCCCAGCACTTTTGCCTGAGCCCACAGGTTCGAGGCCAGCCCGGGCAACTTGGCGAGCCCTCATCTTGACAATAAATGAAGAAATTAGCTGGGCATGGTGGTGCGTGCCTGTAGTTCCAGCTACTTGGAAGGCTGAGGTGGAAGGATGGCCAGAGCCCAGCAAGTCGAGGCTGCGGTGGCCGGGAGTGTGCCACTGCACTCCAGCCCTAGCGACAGAGTGAGACTCCCAACTCAAAAAAAAAAAAAAAAGAGGGCGAGAGAGAGAGATAATTTATTTTCATATAATTTTTTCTCTTCAGTCTTCTATTTTTATTTATTTATTTTTGAATTGAAGTCTCACTGTCATTCAAGCTGGAGTACCAAGTGGCATGATCAGAGCTCACTGCAGCCTTGGCCTTCTGGGCTCGGGTGATCCTTCTGTCTCAGCCTCCTGAGTAGCTGAGACTATAGGTGTGCACCACCACATCCAGTTAATTTTTTTTGTAAAGATGAGTTTTCGCTATGTTGCCCAGGCTGGTCTCAAACTCCTGGTCTCGAGCAATCCTCCTATCTTGGCCTCCCAAAGTGCTGTGATTATAGGTGAACCACTGTGCCTGGCCCAGCCCAGTCCCCCATTTTTATCAAGGAAAAATTATAGGCCGGGCTTGGTGACTCAGCCTGTAATCCCAGCACTTTGGGAGGCTGAGGCGAGTGGATTACCTGAGCCTGTGAGTTCAAGACCAGCCCGGGCAACTTGGCGAGACCTTGTCTCTACAAAAAATAAAAAATTAGCTGGGTATGGTAGTGTGCACCTGTAGTTCCAGCTACTTGGAAGGCTGAGGTGAAAGGATCATCGGAGCCCAGCAGGTCGAGGTTGCGGTAGCTGGCTGAGACTCCAACTAAAAAAAAAAAAAAAAATTATAGTAGGATAAATTTATTTGTAAAATATTATATTTGGCCTGATTATTTGTATAAAGTGTAGTAAGAATAGTGATTGGCAGTATAAGCTTAAGTTGACTTTGTTGGAACTTTTTTTTTTAGGTTGGAAAATATAGTTTATTACAGAGTAAATGAGAGAGAGAGATTCACCTCCCCAGGGGAGGGGAGGGGCCAAAGCTAAGAAAACATTGTGGCCACAGCTCAAAGAGCACCTGGTCAGACCATAGTTTTGCAGAGCAATGACTAGAAAGTAAATTAGAGAGACAAAAAGAGAGAAATTTACCTTTTCAAGGTAAGGAAGGGGCCAAGGCTAGGAAACAGGGTGGCCATAGCTCAAAGAGCCACATAGACATACCAGAGTTTAACAAAGCAATGGCTGGAACTTTTTGATAAAGAGTATTATGTTAGACTTTTAAGAGCCTTTGTAGGCTGGGCTCGGTGGCTCAGCCTGTAATCCCAGCAGTTTGGGAGGCCAAGGTGAGAGAATTGCCTGAGCCCACGGGTTTGAGACCCACCTGGGCAACTTGGCAAGGCCTCATCTCTACAATAAATCAAAAATTAGCTAGGCATGGTAGCGCGCACCTGTAGTTCTGGCTACTTGGAAGACTGAGATGTAAGGATCGCCCGAGCCCACCAGGTTGAGGCTGTGGTGGCCGGGAGTGGCCACTGCACTCCAGTCTGGGTGACAGAGTGAGACTCCAACTCAAAACAAATAAAAATAAAAATAAATAAATTTTGAGCACATTTTAATTTTAGTAATAATTTGCACTTAGCCAGGTGTCGTGGCTCACACCTGTAATCCCAGCATTTTGGGTGGCCGAGGTGAGAGGATTGCCTGAGCCCACGGGTTCAAGACCAGCCTGGGCAACTTGGCGAGACCTTGTGTCTACAGTAAATAAAAAAATTAATTGGGCATGGCGTCGCACACCTATAGTTCCAGCTACTCAGAAGACTGAGGCAGAAGGATTGCCTGAGCCCATCAGTTCGAGGCTGTGGTGGCCATGAGTGTGCCACTGCACCTTAGCGTGGGTGACAGAGTGAGACTCCAACTAAAAAAAAAAAAAAATTTACACTTATCTTTATTTACTGAAGATTTTTTGTTTGTTTGTTTGTTTTGTTTGTTTGTTTTTGAGTTGGAGTCTCACTCTGTCACCCAGACTGGAGTGCAGTGGCCGCTCCCGGCCACCACAGCCTCGAACTGATGGGCTCTGGTGATCCTTCCGCCTCAGCCTTCCAAGTAGCCGGAATTACAGGCATGCACTACCACACCCAGCTGATATTTTGATTTATTGTAGAGATGAGGTCTCGCCAAGTTGCCCAGGCATGTCTCAAACCCTCAGGCAGTCCACTCACTTCAGCCTTCCAAGGCGTGAGATTACAGGCTGAGCCACCGAGCCTGGCTTAATTTTTTTTTTAAATAAAATATTTGGGCTGGGCTCAGTGGCTCAGCCTGTAATCCCAGCACTTTGGGAGGCTGAGGTGAGTGAATTGCTGAGCCCACCCGGGCAAGTTGGTGAGATCTCGTCTCTACAATAAATAAAAAATTAGCCGGGCATGGTAGTGTGTGCCTGTGGTTTCGACTACTTGGAAGGCTGAGGTCGAAGGATCGCCGGAGCCCAGCAGGTCGATGCTGGGGTGGCAGTGAGCATGCCACTGCACTCCAGCCTGGGCGATAGAGTGAGACTCCAACTAGAAAAAAATAAAATAAAATAAAATAAACATAAATATTTGGTTTAAGTGCATTTTTAAAAACTTGGTTCTTTTATATATTTTGGTAGTAAAATATTACATGTACATGACACATAAATATATAGACATATAAACACATAAATAGAAGTAGATCTTATATATTTATAAGATTTTTTGGGGTCAGTTTTTAAATAGTTTTTCCCCATTTTAGATTATTAATTTTTTGGTTATCTGTTTTATATCTTAGCTAACTGTTATCTAGGTAACTCTAAATCTGTATCTCTAAAGTCTGACTTTTAGGTGAAATTTATATCTCAGAGGCATAGAATTTAGATCTAATAAAGGTAAGATTTATGTAAACTTTAAGCCATTGTCTTTTCCATCCTTAACATTTTTTTTGGAGGTTTAGGTATAGAAAGGAAGATATACTTAGAAATGAAGTGTTTTTTTAGAAAGTTGTGTTTTAAGCTTTTTTTTTTTTTTTTTTGAGTTGGAGTCTCACTCTGTTGCCCAGACTGGAGTGCAGTGGCCACTCCCGGCCACCGCAGCCTCAACCTGCTGGGCTCCGGCGATCCTTCCGCCTCAGCCTTCCGAGTAGCCGGAACTGCAGGCGTGCGCTACCATGCCCGGCTGATTTTTGATTTATTGTAGAGATGAGGTCTCGCCAAGTTGCCCAGGCGGATCTGGAACCCGCAGGCTCAGGCAATCCACTCACCTCAGCCTCCCAAAGGTGTGGGAGTGTTTTAGCTTTTTAACTGAGCTTGTTTATTTGTTAGATTATTGGCTTTAGGGTAGAGTCCTTTAATGAACAGGCGAAAGAAAGCGTGTCATTTTTAGGGCCTAATATCTAAATGTTTAAAGAGGCATAGCCGGAAAGCAGAATCCAGATCCCCCAAATCAAGGATCTCATTTTATTTTATTTTATTTTTTTTTTGAGTTGGAGTCTCACTCTGTCGTCCAGACTGGAGTGCAGTGGCCGTTCCTGGCCACTGCAGCCTCGACCTGCTGGACTCCGGTGATCCTTCCACCTCAGCCTTCCGAGTAGCTGGAATTACAGGCATGCGCTACTACGCCCAGCTGATTTTTTGATTTTATTGTAGAGATGAGGTCTCACCAAATTGCCCAGGCGGGTCTCGAACCTGCGGGCTTAGGCAATCCACTCACCTCAGCCTCCCAAAGCGTGGGATTACAGACTGAGCCACCAAGCCCGGCTGTATCTCATTTTAATATTGAATCCTGGGTCCCCTCGAAAGAGGGAAATGTCATAGAATGAGCTAGCATAATGTTTTTATACTGTACCTCACTGTAAGGACATCCCCCTGAGGCTGGTGAGTAGCCCAGTGTCAATTTGCCCACTCTGTTATTAGCCCATTTTTATGGCAGTTTTATTCCTCCATGGTGAAGGTTTTTCTTATCTTTAGGTACCCAAAATCATGTGTTTTAAAACTTAAATACACAAAGAAAGAAGTAGCCCCTTGTAGTATTAATCATTTGCTGTAAATGACTGTCATTAGTCCTCTCAAAAACTGTATTTTTTATCTTGTCATTGTATATATTAAGGTCAAGTTTTTTTTTTTTGAGTTGGAGTCTCACTCTGTTGCCCAGACTGGAGTGCAGTGGCCGTTCCCGGCCACCGCAGCCTCAACCTGCTGGGCTTCAGCGATCCTTCCGCCTCAGCCTTCCGAGTAGCCGGAATTACAGGCATGCGCTACCACACCTGGCTGATTTTTTGATTTATTGTAGAGATGAGG